CTCGGGAATCTCTGTCCCCAAATTTTATAACCCCCTCACTAATTTCCTTTTCTTCCCCTTTTGTCAAATGATCCAAGATGTGACTGCATTTCACATTCAGTCGGTAAATGGTCATATCCAATAAACAACACTGTCTGGCCTGGAACTTTCTTCAGATACTATAAATTATTGGCTTTCTAAGTGAGAAATACTCCCTAAATCTGGTTTAAGTAAAACGGTAACTCACAACTTGCAAGATACATAAGAGTTGACACTCAAATAGTGGATGCTAAGGCCACTTTAAAGGAAGATTTACAAAAGGTAAAGCTTACCAGTTCATGGAGGGTGAGGGGAGGAGGCACAGGGAAGTGACTTGTCAAAAACATTCTAAATGGGTTGCATAATGGCAAGACTGAGGTAAGCTACACCTTTGACCCATCTCGTTCTTTTATTATATCTAAGATTGCGTTGGTTTCAACAGCTCACACGAGGTACATTTCCACTCTTCTAGCTCTCAACCAGATTAAATGTTCAGGTTAGCTTATCAAGTAAAAACCACAGCACACGGGGCATATTCATGAACAGATTTGTAAGAAACAACACAAGTAGACCAATTTAGCCCTTAATTGCTCCTGTTAGGTTAAGAAGAAAAATACTGTCCCTCCCCAGGCTTTTGGTGGGAACTGTTATCAAACACTGACTACAAAAAAAACAAAAAACAAATATGTGGCAACAACCCAATTTCAATGCTTTCAAATCTTACATAATCTATAATATGCATGTAGCACCAAAGAGAGTAAGAGAGGAAAGTGAAGAAAAATACAAATGCTCTGAATCTTCTAACACATCAACATGCTGAAACAGAACATACTAAAAGAATAATATACAGGTAAAAGCTGAATATTCTTTTGAGATCTTTTTTAATCCTTCCCTGAGGATATGTTTTTATTGATATTTTAGAATGAGAGACACAGAGAGAAACATCGATGTGAAACATCGATTGGTTGCTTCCCGTATGGCCCTGACTAGGGCTGGAACCTGCAACCAGAGCATGTGCCCTGACTGGGAACTGAACCTGCCACCTTCTGGTGCCCAGGGTGATGTTCAACCAACTGAGCCACCCCGCTGGGCCCCTTAGTTATTAACTCTCCTTGAGCACATGCCACGAAAGTCATTAAGTGATGTCTATATTCTCTGTGTTGAACGTCTGTCTCCCTCTCTAGACTTGGGACATCCTGAAGGGTCAGGGTCACGTGGGCTTTGCTGAGTGACCTCCTATGTTCCGGACCTAGAAGGACCTGGCACACAGCGGTGTTAAGTAAATATTTATTCTATGACCGTTTGAGAACAAAGAGCCAACCAATGCTGCCCATTCCGTATACCCAAATAATAAAAGCTTAGAAATGAAGTAAAGGAACATTAGGTCATCAAGTCTGATGTTCAGAACTTCATTTTGTTCTCAACATGAAATTGAGAAAAGCTTTTCCCTGGCAGGGACAGCAAGAAAGGAAGTAACTGAACCATAGTCGATCTGTGAGCCATTTTATAGCTTTCAAAACACTTCCATCACATGTGGTCTCATGACTGAAAGTGGCCGAAGAATTCTTATAGAACTCTCTGCAGTTCAAAATGAACATTTTAAAGAACTGTGGCAGGCACAGAACCCATTTATCTTGAAAGTTTTTATAAATGGCTTATACCATATCTGGGGCTTTTGTTGTTGTTAATCCTCACTAAAGGATATTTTTTCCATTGATTTTTTTTAGAGAGAGTAAAAGGGAGGGGGAGACAGAGAGAAAGTGAGAAACATCAATATGAAAGAGACACACTAATTGGTTGCCTCCTGCACGTGCTCCAACTGGAACTGAGGTCTGCGCCCTTGACCGGGAATTGAACCAGAGACCCTTCAATCCTTGGGCCGATGCTCTACCCACTGAACAAAACCAGCCAGGGCATGGGATCTTTTTTAGTGCTCACTGCAAAATTCTTTCTCTACAAACTACCTGAGACAAAGTCCTGTTTTCTGCTGTTTTATTTTGTTTTTTAATTTCAGAGTACTGAAATGAATACTGATTCCAAATAAACTCTTCAAGCATTGGAGAGTATACAGCAGCTCTTTTCTCAAAGGCCAAAGAAAGGCAATCTGGGAGCTTTTGCTGAAAGGGGTTTCCCAGGGATTGTTGGTAAACTGACTGACACCTCTAAAGTTCCAAAGTAAACTTCTAAAACCTCTTCAGAGGTACATAACCTCCAGAATTCTGTGTAGGTGAGAGTAGGACAGACATTTATTTAAATAATAAGCTCTAAAGCTCTTTGATGATTTTTTTAATGTACCGTGACTATATGAAAATTCATAAACAGTAAGACCACAGGATAGATCAGAATCTGGGCAAATGACATAGTAATGGGAGTGCTGCAGCTCTTTAAAAGTCTACGACACAGCAGAAGTTAAATAGGGATTCATATAGGTTCCTATTATCTGTATTCCTTCTGAGTAACTGAATTTAAAACAATTTCTTGAACACCTCAGACTGTAACTAGCTTATATCTAATCCTATGATTATGGAATTCTAGGCTAGGACAGGTCAAAGACAATAAAAGTTTTAAAGCCTTGAAATAAAGCGAGCAAAGTACTTGTTTTTAAGAAAGACTTTGTTCCATCTTCCTAAGTAACATATTTGGAAACCTGGGTTTGCAGTAACATAATATCTTATATCTCTATCCAATTTTATGAATGTCAAAGTGTTTGATACACACACAGTACTTTAATCTGACTCACACAATAATCTTGTGAAATAGGCAGACCAAGGATTTTACAGATGAAGAACATGAAGTTCCAAAGGTTTTGTTTCTTGACCCAGGATCATAACTTAGAAAATGGAAGAACTAGGGTTGGAAGGGTTTCTGATCCAGAGGGTTATTGCTATTTCTGAGAGCTATAGCATTCTGGCCCCTCTCAAGCTACTGTTTATTTTTTATATCTCCCCTAAACAAGCAACAAGACAGTGATGCCCATAACTTCAAATATATAAAGACTACATAGTATATTAAAAGGTGTAAAATATTTCCCTCAAAATACTGATCATGTCCTCATATGGTTTCAGGTCTTAGAAACCTTCTAAAATTATGGTCTACTATTCTTGGTCTTGTGTCAAGCTTATATAGAGAGCACAATTTTGCACCAGAAAAGAACAATAAATATGTTTTCTCTTCTAATGAAAAACCAGGGACCTTCCTGACAAGCACAAGAATCACTATATCCAGTTGCTCAATAGTCTAGTGTGAGTGAGGTTAGCATCCAAAAGTGGGATAAACCTCAAAGCATAACCTTTCCTGTTTAACAGAGTGGGGGTAACAGGATGAGGCCATGGGATAAAAGAAAGGCTATTAACTACTGAATGTGTGAGGGTAAGGTGAGGGTGAGAGCTTCTTTGTCTTTGACTTTTGTTTTTTATGAGTGGCTCAGTTTTTTGAAGGGGAAAGAGTTCAATTCTTTATGTAAAAAATACCTTAAGTATGTGTGCATCCTAGAGTTTAACAGGAAAAGAATCCATATTAAGTTCTTTAACTTCACAAATCTGGTTTTCTTATCTCTAATGTACACTGTGCTGTTACATTTGCATAACTTCCAAGTTAAAGACAGAAAAGCCTATCAAATAACCTCCAAAGAATACAAGGGTCAAAGTGGGATTGATCTACATAATAGGGCTAACTCTGACCTTCAGTAGTAAACACACTTTATTTTATAAAGTCAGCCTTGTTCTTTGAGGTCAGCAGTTTTCAACCCTGGATACATATTAGAATGAGCTTTTAAAAATACTGTCCCCCAATCCTGCACCAAACCAATGAAATCTACTCTTTGGAGTAGACACAAGTTGTAGGGGTCAGCTAGAATTGAAAACCTCTGGTCTAAGTGCTTTGTCATCCAGTTTCAAATACCCCAACAGGATGTCATTTCCATATTTTCCTATGAAAGAAATATTCACAGTATCAGGACTAACAGCCACCATGCCTAGAAACATCAGAATTTTATAAGCTGAATGAGTTTATTACTTGGATATAAGCGATAATCTTAAGTTAATCACAAATAATACACTTAATAAATACTAATCAAATACTAACAACAACAAAATTTAAACCAGAAAATAATTTTTAAAAAAGTTTTTGTAACTTCATACAACTATGTAATGCTCATTTAAGCATAGCTTAAGTATTAAACCATATTAAAAATTTATCTTCCACTGACTAGTAGCCAATCTTGTAAAATAATTGATTTTTGGAATTTTCCCATAGATATAAGTTAGAAAAGGCAAATAAAGAAACCAGAAGTACAGGACATCCTATTACACAGGTATATGAAATAAGTTCAAAGGGGAGTTTCCACTTCTCAGAGGACAAAAGGCTTCTCAGAAACATTACTGCAATCGTATTGCTCATTTCTTACTCAACCCGGTACTGCTGAAAGGAGGTTGCTATGTTCCCACCTTAACTGCCTATCTGTTGTTCCTGTGACAGCTGAAGTCAACAAAGATAAGTGTGGCTTCTGGAAAAACCAAAATGCCAAGCTTCTTTATTTTAAAACTTGTTCTGAAACTCTTCCATATTATCTGATTCTACAAATTTGGCAACAGCTGCGTATTAGTTAGAGCTGGAGAAAGAGTAACTCACCTGGTCTAAGCTGTATACTTAAGCAAATAGAAAAAATGAAAACAAGTTCTCTGGAACTTTTACCATTTGATAAAAATCTTCTGACATTCTAAGGAGGCTTACACTAAAAAGTTTGAGACCAAAAGATGCAGGAAAATCTAAAATAGGTGTAATGTCCTAATGAAACCTAGGTAGCCTGACTGGGAAAATATTTAAAATTCCTATTCTATGAACTTCCTGATTAAGAGGAAATTAACGGCTGCTACAGTAAGAATAAGGAAATATTAGAGATTAGAGATTTGATTTTGTGTTTTTATTTCTAGGTCAGAGTTGCAAATAATTATAACATTTATAGGTGTGTGGTATAAACTTACATGATTTATCGTTGACTGAACAGCCTTTACATAATGATTTAGTTCCCGATCCATCATAGCAAATTCAACCATCGCCTTATCCATACTGTATTCACTACTCACTTCAGCTGAAAGAAAGAAAAAGCAATTATTATTTCCCATTTAAAATGCCATATCTGGAAAAAGTTGCACCAATATAATGTGTATCAGTCAATGCTCTAAATGATTTTGTAAAGGTATTACATGTTTTTTAAAACTTCAACATATGTGTACTTCATTCAAATTTCTAAGAACATTCCCAGCAGAAAAAGGCTCAAAGGCAGAAAGGTGGGATTAGACTCAGGAGTTCCAGGCTCTGCCACTTCCTTGTATGATCTTAAATCAATCACTACACTTCTCCCTCATCCCCTAAAGCACCCCATCATCTACCTGCACATGAGCCTCACAGGACTGCTAAAGATCAAATAAGGAAGATTTTTCACTTTGAGTAACAGTAGCTTGGCTTATGTAGACCAATGCTCCTACTGAGGACAACTAAAACAATTGGGGAAAGAAAGAAATCTTAAAAGTAAAAGAGTCACAAGTTAGTAAGAAACAACCAGTGCAAAATCTAGGAAAAAATGAAAAAGAAAAGCGGAGCAACAAACAAAGTTACATAGTCAGCTGGGTTCCCTTCCTCAGAATAAAGATGAACCAGAAGTAATTCCACCCTGGGAGGTTGGCCTTGGCCACTGACCAGAACAGAAGAAAGAGGGAGAGAAAACCACCTGTTTCTGAAAAACTGGATTTGCAGCCTGGGTTCCGCGGGAACCTAAGAACTTACGATCTTGGTGAGGGGTGTCTCAGAGTGAGAGTACCCACAGGTACTCCCCTCTGGAGAAGACACTCATCCTGGGCCTCAAATAATCCCAACAAATAATTGTTAAGGACAATGAACAGATTACAGGGAGTCGGGGGTACCTTACCCTAAAAAACACAAGGAAACAATCCACCAAGAGTAAGAATCAGCAGAAACAGATCCACAAATGTGTCAGATGTTGGGATTGTCTCAGTCAGAATATGAAACAACTACGCCTATTATGTTTAAAAATTTAAAATACCCTCAAGGAATATGAGACTAAAAAGTGACCATCAGATTGGAAAGTGGGATAAATTTCTTAAAAGTGTTTTAAAACTGTTTCTTAAGGTCTAAACACAAAGGAAAAGAGAGAACACAGGATAATAAAAAGTTTAACATTTAAAAAGCTGAATGAAAGGGAAATAAAGCTGACTTAAATCACATTTGGAAATGCAGATACTCAGACTCTTCAAATGTTGGTATTTCTTGTCTGCTCTGAAGAACAATATCACAGATCATCCCGAAGTCGTGAAATAACGTAAAATCCACTTACATTTGGCTTTTAAAAATGATTTTCCTAGACTTTACGATTAGTCTTTAATTTTACAACAGTAAATTATAAACACATTCCATAAACTATCTCCTGAGTTAACCTGCTTCTGAGAGAATACCTCTTGACTTAAAATACCTAGATTTTGGTAAAATGTTGACAACCGCACACTGGGATTATGGGTTAATTTTTGAGAGCACTTAGAAATGTGCCTTTGACATGAAAAATACTATAAAAAGTTTTACAAAATAAAATAGGATCATGGTTCTCATTATCCAGGTCCCATGGATAATAGTAAAATTTGAATCAGAGAGCAATTTCAAACACAAGGCCAAGGAGACCTTCCCTGTAAAGGAGAAAGTGAGCAGTGGCTGAGTCAATGTTTCACAGCAGGACGCCCAAGGGAAGACTCTCTGGAGGCCAACTGTGGCTTACAGGCAGCTCAGCTAAAGCTCCAGGGCCCAAGAATGTTGGGACAAGTTGAAGAACCTACCTGATGAATGGTGGAGCCTGAGGCAACAAAGGGAAAACACCAGAGGAGATCAGGAAGCTAGTCCTAAAAATAACTGAGAATCACACCACACCTGGAAGTGATGCCCAGTCAGATAACTTCAGGCTAAAGCCAGTGTCTTGGTCTGCTGTGGAGAACAGAGACTGAAGAGCTAGCAGAGATCCCATAATGGTATCTGCAAGAGAGGCCATGAGAACGTCCATATCAAGCGGCAACCTACAGCCGATATTTTAAAATTATTTTTGTGACTCTTTTTAGTCATCTTGTTAACCTTTATTTCTCTTATTATTGCAATAACAACCTCTTTTTAAAAATGTTATTTGGGTTCCTGTTTCAGAAACTCTAACTAGGGAAGACAGAGAACTGGTGTCTTTTTCTATTAAAGAATTAAAGTAGGAAAAGAAGAGCACAGTATTGCATTAAAAAGGCCAACAGGCCAAATAAATCCCCAAATAATTCAAAAATTCAGGAAGGCAAAAAGCGATAAATAAACAGTGGCTGGGGGATGGGGTGGGTGTGGAACAGCCAGAGGTTCCCTGCTCCTTTATTCCAAAGTCTATAATCCTACTATCGAAAATCTCTCTCTTACAGGGAAAGCCCTTCCTAAAAATCCAAACCAATCCAATTCTACACTACACATCCTTCAAGGGGAGAGCTCAAGCCCTAACTGCTTTTAAACTATGTCAGCCTAGAAGGATCTCAGTTAATTTATCACAACTATATTTAATACTTTAGCACTTCTAACCATAAACAATATTGTCTTTTTATACACATTCACCTAATTTCTCCAAAGAGATTTTAATCCATTTACAGGCAAGTATGATGCCTTAGTGCTCTTGGGATCCACCAAAGAATTACAGCACCTCTTCTTTCAATATTCTTATAAGGCCATTATTTAATAAATTTGGAAATTAAAATTTCACCAACTATAAATTGTCCTGCCCTTAGCCATTCAACTGAATTAAAATATAAAGAAGACGTGATATAGATTCATTTGCCTATTATATTTTTATTGAGATTTTTCCACAGGAAAGAGGTTGGCACCAGGAAAGTGGGG